ACAAACACATACGTACTGACTTGAAACAGCGCGTTGGCTTCCTTACAGCCCTGGCAGGCAGAAACCCAGAGTCCGTCTCTTGGGCTGCATCCAGGTGTGGCCAGGATGGCTCCCCGGAGGCTCCCGGGGAGAGACGGTTTCTTGCCTCTTCTGGAGGCGTCTACGCTCCTCACGGCCCCCCTCTGGTTCCCAGCCAGCCATGCAGCGACCTCCCTCCCATCTGACCTCCGCGTCCCCTTGCAAGGACCTGTGACGACATCAGGTCGCCTGGACCACCCCCATCCCTCCTCCGCCGCTCAGCCACATCCGCAGCACGGGGTCAGCACACCCCAGCTCTGGGGCCGTCACCAGCCCACGCCAGGGGCGGACCTTATGTTCCCGAACGTGCACATCCCGTATACGCTCTGTTGACTCATCAGACCACCCAAACCTGGATGTGGCTCTGCTCCACGCTCCGCCCGTCACTGGCTGTCCCATCTCCCCCCTGCCACTGTCCCCATGCTCTCGGGAGTCTAGGCCTGTCCCCCACCCACACTCTCCTCCCCAGAGGCCTGTGGTCCTGCCCTGTGCACATCTTAGGGTCCTGTATGGTGTCACAGGGCAGCAGCTGGGGTTTCCTTGGGGTCCTGGTTCATCCTTCTTTCTAGGAACCCTGCCCTAAAGGAAGAGGCTGGTCTGCCCCCAGGAGCCAGGTGAGCTCCCAGACATCCGGCAGACCTGCCCTGGGCAGTCTGTGTGGGGACCCGGGAACGCAGACATGTGCGTGGTCCTAAATGGGCCAGTGTCCTCTGGGGCTGCGCAGGCCCGCCGATCCAGCGGACAGGACTTCAGTGTCACGAGAGACGGCGGGTCAGTGAGCACAGCAGGGCAGGGTGCCCAGGAGGGAAGGACAGGAGCCCCCAAGGGAGAGGGTGTGGCTGGCGTCGACCGGTGACCCCAGGCACTGTGCACGCTGAGGCTAGCGCAGAGCGGTCTGCATCGGGGCCGGGACAGGCCCATGGATGTCCTGCTTGTCCACCATGCCGAATGCCCAGCAGCCACAAGAACAGCGTCCCGGGTGGGGCCCTGCCGCGGCCTGCAGCGCCCTCTGCAGACAGAGCCCGGGTGGCACCAGGAGCCGAGCTCAGCCGCCGTCCAGGGGGCTTGGCTACTTGGGGCTGACAAGACTCAGGCAGAGGCAGGGGGAGCCCCAGCCAAGGAAGAGGCACCCCCTGGCTTGAGAGGCCTGGCCGGAGGCAGTGGGGCTGTGGCCCCCTCACCCTCCAGGAAGCATGGCCGCGAAGGTTTGCAGGGCACGGTCCCCAGGAGCCAGGGGCGCTAGGGCCATGGCTGCCAGTCAGTCCGCTGGGAATGGTGTCCCGCTCCTGGACTGGCCAGGAGTCGAGGGGGCTATGTCGCCTGGGGGCACCAACAGGGGGTCTCCAGGGCCAGCTGCCCCCAGGTGTTGACAGCTTAGCAATGTGGCCTCTTTGTCCTCCTGGGGACACCAGAGGGACCAGCTCCAGCAGCACGGCCTGCTGGAGCAGAGCAAGCCTCACGCTGTTCCTGTCACAGGCTCCCGCGCTCCCCGCTTCTGTGCCTCCCCTGCATTACAGGAGGAGTGACGGGAACCCAAGGGTCCTCGTCTCCCTGGAGGGTGGAGGCATGGCTCGGGGAAAGTGGCTTTCTGCAGGTTCTGAGGGGCTTTCGAGCCTGGTCAGCGCTGGGAACAGGGCCACAGATGGCCGTGGGCTGGGCCCCCACCGGGCCGGGTCCACCAGCACACACTCACCTGTGGCCTTCTCCTGCAACTGTTACAAGCAATCGGTCTTCTCTGGTTTGGCTCACCACCCCGCTTTGTGTGCGAGGCTGGACCCCAAAGGGCTCCTTCCCTCTCCCCGTGCGCATCCGTGGGAACAAGCGCTCTGGTTCAGGTCGTGGGGCCAGACTCAGCCCCTCCCCCGCCCCAGCAGACCCCGTCCCTCTTACACCCGCTGTACGTCCACTGCGTGGACGCGAGCCCGTCCCCGGGACGGATCACAAGCCTTTGCCCTCGATGCCGCCCGGCTGATCGAGGACCGCCTGTCTGTCCTGGTTTGCTGAGATCTCTCATGACAGACGTGTGTTAAATTCTGTCAAGTGCTTTACTGTGTCTGTGAAACGATCTCATGGAATCTCCTTGTGCTTCCATGATGAGCGACTTTGATTTCATGAAAGACAGTGCGTGTCTGCGGTAACTCTCACCGGCCCTGGTGTTTCCTCCACGGGTTTTCTGCCGCGGGTTTTCCGACCAGGGCGCCTCCTTCGCTGTCCGGAAGAGCGTCGTGGGCAGGGATTCGCGTCATCTCTCCCTCAGACGGGGTCCGGTTTCCCTGGTGGCATTCGGGGGGCCTGGGAGTTTCTCTGTTGGGTGTTTGGGGATCTTGGAACCAACATTGAGAGAGTTTTCAGCTTTCTGATGCTCGTCTTGCTGTTGCTAATTTGTATTTTCTCGGGGAATTTGCCCATGTCCTCTGAGCCGCTCCAGTGCTGGCCACGGTTGTTTACACCGGCTCGCCCTCGGTCGTCTGCCTCCCCCTCTTCTCGCCAGCCCCGCAGGGCGTGAGAGCAGGGCCACCCGTTTGCCGTGGACTTCACTCTGGGCTGGTCATCCTCAGCCCTGCCCGCTGGCTCTCCGGCTCCTTCCGTCTGCGGACTCCGTGTTTACTTGGCTCTCTCTGCCTCGGCGCGTGGAGCCCCGGCCGTGAACATCCAGCCTCCCCCTCTTCCCACAGACATCAGGGCCATGAATGTCCCTCCAAGGGCTGCTTCCGCTGCCTCCCAGAAACGAGCTGTTTTCCTTTCTCATCTTCTTTGAAGTGTTCTCTAGACCCCCCGTACGACGTCTTCGACCCACGAATGATTCAGAAGTGCGTCGTCTCGCTTCTGAGTGTATGTGGTTCTCCTAGTCACTGTGTTGTCACCCATCGGCCGGACACCGTGGCGGTCAGACCTGATACTCGGTGTGATTGCAGCCCCGGGGAGGCGAGCCGGGCCCGCTCCACGGCTCGCACGTCGTCTGGCGCGGCGAGCGGAGCCCCAGCCGGGGCGGAGTGAGTGCGTCTGTTACTGAGCCTGACGCTCCAGGAAGGGCACGGGGCAAAGTGAGTCATGTCGTTGCTCGGGTCTTTGGTCTCTCTCTCTTTTTTTTTTTTTAAGATTTTATTTGTCTATCTGACAGAGAGAGACACAGTGAGAGGGAACACACGCGGGGGAGGGGGAGAGGAGGAAGCAGGCCCCCCGCTGAGCAGGGAGCCCGATGTGGGGCTCGATCCAAGGACCCTGAGATCACGACCTGAGCTGAAGGCAGATAACGATGGAGCCCCCAAATGCCCCCAAATCTTCGGTTTCTTTACTAATCTCTTGCCTGGTTGTCCTAACAAACGCTGAGCTGAGCGCGGGCGACTGGATCGCAGGCCAAGACTCTGGCCTCATCTGCGCACGGCCTGGCCGCCGTGTCCCGCCGTGGGCGGTGCTGACGCTGACGTATTTCCTCCTCCTGAAGTCCGTCCTCTGGCGTTGGTGTGGCCGCCACAGCCTCCCTGCGTCTCCCCGGCGGACGGAGCCCCCTGCCCCGCCTGCTCTGCCGGCCCAGGGCGTCGGACGGTCTAGGTCTTTGTTTTAACCACCGTCCACCTGTCTTCCGGTGTTACTTCTTCTCCTTCTGCTCCTCCTTTCCTGTCCTATTTTGTCCTTTGGGATTATGTTAGCATTTTTCCACATTTCATTTTACTTATCCATTAGCCCTTTGCCTTAATGTCTTGTGTTGCCTTCGGGATCGCAGCCACGGACTCTTCCCTGTATCTCTGGCATGAAGCCACGCTAGTTCACGGGAAGTGCGCGCAGTCAGCCTCCCCTGTGGGGCCATCCCCCCACCGTCTCGGTGGCAAAGCGGCAGCGTCCGTCAGTCCGCATGGCAGTAACTCCCTAGGCAGTGTTACAACTCTTCCTTCAAACAATCATATTTTTTTTTAATTAAGAGAAAACAAAATTTCTATGTTTGCCCTAATAGTTAGCATTTCCGGCGTCCTCCCTTCTTTGGGGTTTCTATCTGGTGCAGTAGCCCTTCAGCCTGAGGGACAAAACTGAGCGTTTCTGGAAGGTTGGCTGGTGACAAATTCGCTCAGTTTTATTTTTGTCAGAAAAATGTCTGTACTTGTCCTGTTCTGAAGGACGTGTTCTCTGTATATAGAATTCTGGGAGGCACAGAGCCCCAGGGTCACCCTGCTCCCACCCATGGACCTGGGGCCAGTGGCATTCCCCTTGTCAGGGACAAAGAGCCATCGGCCCATTGGGGTGTTTGTGGCATCCAGGAGGGGGCACCCCCTCCCTGTGATCATCTGCAAGACGGCCCCTTGGTCACCGTGACCCTCACGCGGTCAGACCGGCGAGATCCTCACATGCTCGAGATCCAGCCTCAGCAGGTCGGACGTTAGACGGTAGAGGGCCCTCAGTGGAGCTGCCGGCCAAGACCCTGCTGGCAAGAAGGTCAGGCCAGGCCCGGCCCAGGGTGGGGGCCGACTCCACCCAGACTGGCCTGTCCTGGGGGTGGTGTCAGAGGCCAGACGCGTCCCAAGCAGCTGAGAAGCCAGGCTGCCGGCCTGCTCAAAGGTGTGAGGGCGTGAGGGGGGGGGGATGGGTTGGAGGACAGGAGAGGAGGGTGGGGGAGGGGATGGGGGCGGGGATGGACGGGAACGGGAGGGAAAGGAGGGGTGGAATACAGAAAGGAGATGGGGGAGGTGGGAAGGGATAAAGAAGGGGATAGATGAGGAGAGGGAGGAGAATGGGTTCAGGACAGGAAAGGAGGGAAGGGTGGTGGAGGAGACAGGAGCGGGGAAGGAGGGGAATAGAGGGTGGTAGGTGGAGGGGGGCGGCCTGGCTCTGGCAGGAGCCCAACTGGGGGGTTGGTGCTGTCAGGACATGGGGTTCCACCTCTGCCCAAGCGCTGGAGGCTGCCCCTGGGGGACCTTCTCTCCTCACAGGTCCTACCTCATCGGCGGAGGGGTTCCCTTCATCATCTGCGGGGTCACAGCCACCACGAACATCAGGAATTATGGCGTGGACAATGAGGACGTGCCCTAGTGAGTCCTGGGCACCGGGTGGGTGGAGGCTCCTTCCCGGCCCCCTGTATCTCCCCATGCCCGGACCACCTGTGGGGGCGCCCCTGGGACTGCGTCCCACCCCCGTATGTGTTCCCCCCCAGCAGTCCCCCTTCTCACCGAGTCCCCCTCCCTGGGCGCTGTGGGCTGCACCTGGGACCAGGTCAGAGTGCACACGGCCCCACCGCGCCCCGCACCCCCCATCACGCTCTTTCTCCTCGGTGGTCCCCAAAAGGCCAAGCCTGCAGGACACACTGGCTCCCTCAGGGGCTCCAGCACTAGGGACACTGAGGCGGGGACGAAAGGCCGAGAGCCCGGCTCCCCCGGCCCAGACTCCCGGCCACACTGTCCCGGCAGGGGCCGGCCGGGTGGGACGGTCCGCGTCTCCTCACCACGGTCAAGCACACGTACCACAGAGGAAGTCCTCCCACGGCCCGAGGACGGCCAGGCACTCGCCTCCCTGGGCGACCCCTCACTGACCCCTGTCTTCCCGCAGCTGCTGGATGGCCTGGGAGGCCAGCCTGGGTGCGTTCTACGGGCCAGCGGCCTTCATTGCCCTGGTCACCTGCATCTACTTCCTGGGCACCTACGTCCAGCTGCGGCGGCACCCGGAGCGCAGGTACGAGCTCAGGCTGCGGACGGAGGAGCAGCAGCGGCTGGCAGGGCCCGAGGCCGGCCACCACCCCGGGGCCCGGCCCGGCCCACTGCCCGCCTGCGATGGCCTGGCCGCCTCCCTGCTGCAGAACGAGCACTCGCTCAAGGCCCAGCTGCGGGCCGCGGCCTTCACGCTCTTCCTGTTCACGGCCACCTGGGCCTTCGGGGCGCTGGCCGTGTCTCAGGGCCACTTCCTGGACATGGTCTTCAGCTGCCTGTACGGCGCCTTCTGTGTGACCCTGGGGCTCTTCGTCCTCATTCACCACTGTGCCAAGCGGGATGACGTGTGGCACTGCTGGTGGTCTTGCTGCCCCCACCGCGGGGACGCACACGCCACGCAGCTCGCTGCCCGCCCCGCACTCGACACCAACGGGGACGCGATGGGCCACGTGGCCTGCCTGCAGGACTCGCCGTGTCCAGGCAAGCCACGGGTCTTCGGCCGCCCACCCACCGGCCACTGCAAGTTGACCAACCTGCAGGCCGCCCAGAGCCACATCAACTACCTGTCACCGGCCACGCCGCACTGTGCCAAGACACACTGCGAGCAGCTGATGGAGGACGCGGCCCACGTCCACGTGCACGAGGAGGACGCCTTTGGACACGAGCCACACCTGCACAGGGGCCTCCAGGCCAGAACTAAGCCCCCCTACTTCAGCCGGCACCGGACGGCCATGGAGGAGCGGGAGTACGCCTACCACATCCCATCCAGCCTGGACGGCAGCCCCCGCAGCTCAGGCACAGACAGCCCCCCCAGCTCGCTCGAGGGCCCGCTGGGGGCACACACGTTGGCCTGCTGCACCCAGGGCGACCCCTTCCCCCTGGTCGGCCAGCCCGAGGGCAGCGATAGCAGCCCGGTGCTCTACGGCTGCCCCCTGAGGCCAGGCAGGGAGTCGGCCTCTGGCCCTGTGCACTTCGAGATGCTCCGGAGGACACAGTCCCTGCCCTTCGGTGGCCCCGGGCAGAACGGGCTGCTCAAGGGAGACCTGTGTGAAGTCCTGTCCTTCAGTGCCAATGGCATCGGCAACATCAGGACAGGGCCGTGGAAGAACGAGACCACCGTGTAGCCGGCCTGACGCCACCGAACCCTGGCAGACAAACGCGGCGCAGAGCAGGGTCCTACACGGGAGGCCAGCGGGGGCTCGCTTCTCAGACGTGGCCAGCACCCCCACAGACCCTTCGTTGCGGAGGACCCGAGTGGGAAGATGCTTTGGGCCACATCTGCTTCTGCTAATCCTAAGGTCAGACAGGCCGTCCATGTCCCAGGATCCAGCTTTCTGACCCCATAGTACACAGTCCCCAGGGCAGCCCAGGAACGGAGCAGGTGTTCTATCAGGAAAATACCCTCCGTGCCCGGCGTGGGCCATAGGGAGCTCTGGGGTGAGTCCCATCTGCCCCACCAGCCTGGCCACAGCAGGAGGTTCCCCCAGTTTTTCTAGTGTCTAGTGTGTGTCTCATTAAGTTTTACTCCAAGGCACAGGCAGGCTGCCTGTCTGGACCGGGGCCGTCGCCCCAGGCCCCTCTGCCGGTCCATGTCACTACCGCCACCTTCAACGGCCACCCTGGGTGCAGCCCCCACAGGCCTGAGAGCCTCATGGACGCTTGGGCTTGTGACCCAACCCAGGTGCACGTGAGAAGAAGGGGCAGCCTGTGACAGTCCTCCAGGGGGCCAGCCGGCGTCTTTGAGGGGCTCTGAGCCGTCAGAAATGCCCAAATGTCCGTCAGCAGACTCGAGAGTCAAAGCCAGCCGCTGTCAGGGCCGTACCCTGCCCCAACAAGGTCATTTGGGGCTCTAACATTCCCAGCCCTGAGAAGAGGGGGGCTGGCATTTCCAGGAGCATCTGGGCTTGAAGACCCGACTCAGACGACAGTTGTCCGTCAGAGTGAGCTGTGTATGGAGCTAGGGGCCCTTTGCAGAGGCAGGGCCCGGGGTCCCCACAGAGGCAGAGCCCGGACCCCTGAGAACACGTGTGCAGGACGGCCCAGCCATTCCTCCCTCCCTCCTCCCAGAACCGTGGCACACACGCGCACACACACAACATGTGTGTGCCACACGTATATACGTGTGCATACGTCTCCATGCTTGTACGTGTGCGTGCGCGTCGCACACACTCCATGCCCACCACACGTGCACCACACGTGCACACACCCGACGCACCGTGCACACACACAGTCGGGGTTTTCCAGACACTCGAGTGCCCATCTCACTGCTCTGCACCGCTGTCATCGCTGTGAGACCTCGGCGCGCTCTGCTGTCTGGGGGAGGCCTCACCAGGACAGAGCCTCCTGAGCGCACGCCTCGGGGGGCGTCGGGTGTCTGGTGTCCCAGGGCCAACGCTCAGTATCTGAGCACAAGGAGCCTCGCTTCCCGCGATTCTTGTAAACCTGACGATGTCCCAAGCCCCCACCAGCCCCGCGTGTCCTTACAGGTCAACCAGATGACTGCCAGGCAGTTTCCGTCTCTGTGCAGCCTGTCCACCGGCTTCCACAGCCGGTAGGAGCCAGAGACCCGATGCCGTGCCGTGTGCACCTGCAGAGCCGTCAGACAAAATACAGTATTTTGCACTGTTTGCTACTTGTGAGGCTGGTTAATGGCGTCTCTTGTCCTCGATGGGGCGGACCTACCTCGGCACGTGGCTCCTGCTTCTGCCCACAAGGCCTAGGCTGGGGCCAAGGAGCCCAGAGAGGCCGCTGCCCGGGACACTCCGCCCCCAGGCAGGTGTCCCCCGTGGCCCTTCCACCCCGGCAGGCCTGGCAGAGCAGCCTCATTATCAAACCAAAGAAGTTCAGTGTTAAACCTCGTGTGTTTCAATATTGATTTGGGCTCCGGAGTCCACTCAGGACAGTGTGGTGACCCCATTGCTGTCGTGTGTCATGTTTTCAGAACATGGGGTCCCCCATTCAGCAGCAGCGCAGGGCCACTCGGACAGACTTCCAGAAGGATGTGGCTGGAGGTTGGAGCCGTCCCAGTATCTCTGGCCTTGCAGCGTGTCAGCCCCTCCCCTGGCACATGCGTGTGCATGTGCACGTGTGTGCTGTCTGTGTGTGCACATGTGTGTTATCTTGTGTGTGCACGTGTTTGTGTGGTGCGTGCATGTGCACACGTACGGTGTGTGTTATCTTGTATGTATACGTGTGTTGGCTTGTGTGCTCACGTGAATGGTGTGTGTGTGTACACGTCTGTTGTGTGCATGTGTGTGGTGTGTGTGAACACGTGTGTTGTGTGTGGTTTTCATGTGTGTGCACTGCGGTGTGTGTATGTGTACGCATGTGTGGTGTGTTATCTGTGAGCCTGTGTACACGTGTGTTTTCTGTGCGTGCTGTGTGTGCACGTGTGTGGTGTGTTATCTGTGTGCGCATATGCACGTGTGTTGTCTGTGCTGTGAACGTGTATGGTGCGTGCGTGTGTGGTGTGCGCACACTGGTGTGGTGTGTGGACTTCATGTGTGTATACGTGTGGTGTCTGTGTGTGCATGTGTACACATGCGTGGTGTGTGGTGTGCGTGTGTACGCCTGTGGTCTTCATGTGTGTGCACGTGTGTTGTCTGGTTGTGTGGCATGTGCCCACCCTCTGCAGAGAGCGTGGGCGATGCCGCGTGGGCCCGTCTAGCTCCCCGGGGCAGAGGGTCACCATGCTGACCCCAGGCAGCCCGAGGCCTCCGGATGCCCGCCAGGTCTGAACAGCATCCCTCGAGCGGCCCGAGCACAGAGCTGCCACAGCGGCCACCACTGCTCATGGCGCAGTCTGCTGCAGCCACTCACGCCTGCCCAGCCGGCCACCACCCCGCCCCCAGAGTTCACCTTGGGGCTCTGCCCTCCTCCGACCGCTGGAGAGCGCTGGCACTCGCCAATTAGCTGAAGGACACCCCACTGCCTCCGGACCCCTCCAAAACCCCTCAGGGCCCCCTCTGAATGAGGGACTACAGGGGAGCCCCTGTGGGCCCTGCCGACACGGGCACGGCTGGGTCTGTGGGGAACGCACTGGATCGGGGCTCAGGGTGAACAGTCTTGCCCCTCACACCTTGTCCTGCCTGCTGGCTGGGGCTCTACACGGTGGTCAGGGGTAGCCCTGAGCCCCTAGGAGCCCCGCCTTGGGACAATGGTCAGCTCAGAGGGTGTGAGTGCCAGCTGTCTGGGGCTAGCACCCAGGAGCAGCTGCTGGGGGCGGGCTCATGGCACAGATCCCGTCTGCAAAGGCAGCTGTCCTGGAGGCCCCCACATGGTGTGCAGCTCTGCCCACAGCACTCAGGGCCCTAGACAGGTATGGAGCCGGCAGGAAGGGGGTTGGGCACACGGGGGCCGCAGCCAGGCCACATCCGTCTCCACCTGTTGCCCATGCGGACCTGCCGGCCCGCCACCTCCTCCCCACATGACCCTCACTCTAAGGGTGGGGAGGGCGTTGCTGCTGGGCCTCAGGCCTGGGTGTCGCCGGCAGCCAGAGGCCATGCATGCGGGTCCTGGCTCTGAGGATGGCCGGT